TTTTTGAGAAAGTGTTTCTCTGTGTAACAACCCTGACTCTCCTTGAACTCACTCTGTAGAACAAGCTGACTTTGAACTCACAGAGATCTGCCTGCTTCTGCCTTCTGAGTGATGGGATAAAAGGTGTGTGCCACCATGGTCAGACAATAAAGTTGCTTTTAATAAATACTTAGTGGTCAAATGGATGATGGTCAAGATAAGCAAGCTCAGCCCTTTGAAGACTTGAGGCTGTGGACATTACTGTCACCTGTAAAAATCAGGAACCTAAAGAAATTATCTTAATTCTTTTTTTAATTGAATTTTTTCATACAAAGTAGATTCTGATCATGATTTCCCCTTCCTCAATACCTGTTAGATCCTTCCCAACTCCCCACCCACCCAACTTCATACTCTCTCTCTTCTTCTTTCTCACTAGAAAACAAAAGGCAAAGTCCAGAATTAAAAAAACAAAGGAACCAAGAAACACACACACACAAGCACATACAACAAACAAAATCCATTAAAACATAAATATACAAGCAAAAGACCAGTAAGACAAAAAAAATGAGTTTGTTTTGTGTTGGCCATCTACTGCTGGACATGGGGCCATATCGGTAATATACTGTGAGACTCCATTGGACAAATCTAACTTTCCCTTTGCAAGTGGGTGTCAATTAGAGATGACTTCTTAAGGTTAGGGATGAGCTTATGTATCTCCTTTTCCCTCTCCATGTTAGGGCCCTATCTGGATTGAACCGGTGCAGGCCCTGTGCATGCTCCCACAGTCTCTGTGAGTTAACACGTGTCCAGCCCTGTGCATGCTCCCACAGTCTGTGAGTTAACACGTGTCCAGGCCCTGTGCATGCTCACACAGTCTGTGAGTTAACACGTGTCCAGCCCTGTGCATGCTCCCACAGTCTGTGAGTTAACATGTGTCCAGGCCCTATGCATGCTCCCACAGTCTGTGAGTTAACACGTGTCCAGCCCTATGCATTTTCCCACAGTCTCTGTGAGTTAACACTTGTCCAGGCCCTGTGCATGCTCCCACAGTCTGTGAGTTAACACGTGCCCAGGCCCTGTGCATGCTCCCACAGTCTCTGTGAGTTAACACATGTCCAGCCCTGTGCATGCTCCCAGTCTCTGTGAGTTAACACGTGTCCAGGCCCTGTGCATGCTCCCACAGTCTGTGAGTTAACACGTGTCCTGGCCCTGTGCATGCTCTCACAGTCTGTGAGTTAACACGTGTCCAGGCCCTGTGCATGCTCTCACAGTCTGTGAGTTAACACGTGTCCAGGCCCTGTGCCTGCTCCCACAATCTCTGTGAGTTAACACGTGTCCAGGCCCTGTGCATGCTCCCACAGTCTGTAAGTTAACATGTATGCAGGCCCTCTTCTGTCTGGAAGACGCTGCTTCTTTGGTGCCATCCAGTCCCCCCTGACTCTTGCAACCTTTCTACCTTCTCTTCTGCACCCTGAGCCCTGAGGAGAGGGTTTGATGAAAACATCTCATTTAGAGTTGTGTTCCAGGATTTCTCACGCTCTGCACACTGTCTAGATGTAGGTCTCAGTGTTAGTTCCCACTACTGCAAGAGGAAGCATCTCTCATGATAGCTGAAGGAGGCATTAATCTATGGATATAAAATTAGGAGCAATTTTATTACTGTGTTCCTTGAACAGAACAACAGTATTTGGTTTCCACCTAGACCCATGGTCTATCTTGTCTCAAATTCTAGGCCACCAGAGCAGTGTCAGGCATGGGTTCTATTGATTATCTTAATTCTTAAAGTGTAACCATGTGCTTAACTAATGTTGTCTAACAGTTTGTTCCAAGATTAAAAAAAAAAAAAGCATTCCATCCTGCAGGAAACTCCTTAAGCAAGAAGGTAAGCAAATCAAAATAGCTACAGGAAGTCCCTGAAAGTGATCAGATTCACTAGGTCCCTCCCTTCCAGAGTAAGTAATAAAAGCTGAGAGTCGGCCTCAGATGGAGGGAAGCTGAGCAGCGTAGACTCTGAGGTCAAACCAACTGCCTGGAAGAAGCAAAACCAGCCCAGTTGCCTGGTCACTTGGAAAGGCCCCTCTCCAACTTGTTGAGCTGCCTGCAGGCAGTGCTGGGCTTCCCAGTTTTGTGAGCTGTCAGCTGTCACCAATGTTGGGGTAAACCTTGGTGATGCGGCTGTCTTTGAGTCATTTCTGTGCCAGTACATAGTTCCCCTCCCATATTCCTGTAAGTAACCCCAATAAAATTCATTGGTTCACCAAAGTCAGACTTTGGTGGTTCCATATTTTGGTCTGTCATGGGATCCCTATGGGGTGAGTAGGCGTGTGTGTTGCATCTCCCCAGGAAAAGTATGGTCACACAACTAAGGATACTATCAGTTCTTCGAACACCATCCCATCTGATTTTAATGTCCCAGCTCCCTGGAGATTTCAAGTTGGAAGCCCATCTTAGAGATGGTAAACTGAGGCCTAGGGAAGACAAGGGTCTTACATCCAAGCACCACCTAGATCAGGCTTCTGTGATCACACCCTATACTGGCTCAATTTCAGATGCTGCTCAGAGGCACTGTGGGAGTAGGGTGGCATCATGTCACCCTGCCTGCAGTGTGATTTTCTGTAGGTGTTCTTTCTCCCACCCTCTCCCTTTCTTCATGACAGGCAGGGCAAGTGTGGGGAGTGGAGAACAGGATGGGGGTGTCACTTTCATTTAATGTTCTCTCATTCTTCATCTAAGGGTTTATTTCTGGATCGCAGGGGGCGGGGACTTAGATCTGAAATTATTTAAATTGTATTGTAATCATCTCAAGATGAGACTAAATCGAGGCACTGAGAAGTGACAAGAGACAAGACACCACCATCCCCTGAACATACAGTTATATAGTAGTTAGTTTAGAATTAGAGGGTCCTGATATTCAGCTGAGAGCCTTATCAGTTAGTTACCTCAGCCCTACTAAGGATGGTCTCACATGCAGCTGGTCAGACTGATACTCCTCTCATTAAACATGTGCCAAAGGTGTTCAGGATCTGTGAGCACCTTCTTTTAATTTCCTTAACAAATTGTGCATTAAACCTAGTGTACTTAGAAACAAGAGGGTAACACAATTGTTTGGGTAGGGACACAAGACCCACTTATATACAGGCTTAAACAATAATATAGGGAGAATGAATGTAAGAATAGCCTGGAGGAAGTATTCCAGAGCCAGGCAGTGGTGGCACATGCCTTTAATCCCAGCACTTGGGAGGCAGAAGCAGGTGGATGTCTGTGAGTTTGAGGCAAACCTGGACAAAAGCTAGTTCCAGAACAGGCACCAAAAAGTTACTAAGAAAAAAAAAAACCCGCCCCAGAAAAAAAGGGGAAAAAAAGGAGTACTGGAGTACTAACAAAAATAAATGCTACATAAAAGGACAAAATAGATGTGCATTGTGGAATTCAGATTCTTTGTGGCTCCAATGGACAAAGTCAGCTACGGTTATTGATAGTGGACACAAATTTAAGCCAATTAATTAATTGAAGAGCTTTTAAATGAGCTAACCAGGAGCTGGAGAGATGGCTCAGAGGTTAAGAGCACCAACTGCTCTTCCAGAAGTCCTGAGTTCAATTCCCAGCAACCACATGGTGGCTCACAACCATCTGTAATGAGATCTGGTGCCCTCTTCTGGCGTGCGGGCATACATGGAGGCTGAACACTGTGTACATAATAAATAAATAAATCTTTAAAAAAAAAAGAATAGCTAATTGAGCCAGACAAGGTATGGTGAAACATACCATATGATTCCAGCATTTGAGAGGCAGAGGCAAGCAGATCTCTAAGTTTGAGGCCACTGTGGTCTACATAGTGAGTTCCAGGATATCCGGAATACCAAAGGGGGGGAAAAAAACAAAACACACACACGTAAAAACCCAAAAACCTAAATGAGTTCTACATTCCATAATCCAGTGTCTCTGAGATAGCTGATGAGACTTATTTCCTTTCTCTTTCTTTTTAAAGACCCTGCTGAGAATTTTCAGCCAACAAAACAGTTGGTTTCAGAGGCTGATTCCACGTTCCTTTTTCTTTTTATACTACTGAAAAGTGTGGCCACGAGAGGGCAGTAGGGGACGTTCGTTAGACACTTGGACATGTTGAGTAAACTCTGTGCTCAGTCTTCAGCTGGAAGACCTGAGACCTTACTGGGGTCTAGCTTGCACAGGACGGGAAAAGCCACGGGAAAGTCATGGTCACCGATGCAGATACACAGACTATGAGACAAGGAATCAAGACGGAGAGGGCGCCAAATCACCCAAGGATTGAAAATCCTCGTTTCTGAGGTTATTAAAGTTGTCTTAACCTCTTAGCCATCACCTTCTGTTTCCAGTACGAGGTGGGCTGGCGGATCTGGATAATGCAAACGAGCCTTCTCCTCTGGTCTCTACAGCACCTATCCGACTCAGGCCCTGCCCTACATCCAGGGTTCCCAATGGAGCAGGAAACCGGAGACGCAAAGCCAGGCTCCTCTTCGCATTGTAGAAATAATAATTATCAACAACTTCAAACCTCTTTTGACAGCTCGCTGGCTTTCTGGAATTTATAGGGAGGAGAATTTTGCTCCTCCGAAATACTAGACCCCTTCTCAACCTCATCAGCAAGCCAGGTCCCTCTGAACTCACCCCTAGCTCACAGGTGAAGAGGGGGGTGGGTAGGCTGTGCCCGGTGACAGGTGATGCCACGCGAGGGGCTGGGTTGCCCTTGTCACTCTGAACCCCTCCCGAGGCCGAGTCAGCCGACTCACCAGGCCAGGACCTGAGTCCCCAGACCCCGGTAGCACCTTTCTGGCCACTTGGCTTCCTACGGGGTCCGCTGAGCGAGGCGAACACCCACAGCACAGTAGCTCAGCCGGGTTCTCGGGTGGACAGACTAGGGGATTCGGTCTGTGCGGGCGGGGCGCGTGGGCGGGGAGGGGGTTAACACGGCCTCTATGATAATGAGCTGCGCGGTAATATAGCAGGCCGGCTGAGGGCGCCGCCACCGGAGCCGAGCCTAGCCTCGCAGCGCGCAGCACTGTCCGCGCAGAGCTGAGCGGGGGCGGCGGGCGCAGCTGCTGGGATCCTTCAGCCGAGGACTAGCGATCCGATCTGGTGGACTCGGAAGCGGCGGAGCCGCGGGGAGCGTACGGGCCCGGTCGCAGACAGAGCTGGCAACCGTTCCCGGAGGAAATGGGGCCGAGCGGGCCGGGAGCAGAAGGGAAGGAAGCGCGGGATCGCTGATGTCAGAGCAGCCCGGAAAGTCGCGCCGGGAAAACCTGAAGACAGCCGGCTTTGCGCTTCCCCGGAGGGACCCTGCTGGACCCCACGCCCCTTCGCGTCCGGGTCCCTGAGTGCAGGCGACCGGGGTGAAGACGCGCGGTCCTAATCGAGGGCCACCCCAGGAATACAGGCAGGCGGCCGGCGCGGGCCGTGGATTTTAATGATCTTGGGTTCCATGTGGACCTGGCCGTCTGTCTGACTCGGGTCGGGCAGGGACTGGGCGCGCGCTGCCCTGGGCAGCCGCCAGCCTAGTCGGAAGAAGCGGAGACGCAAGGACAGACAGACACTGCCGAGCTGGGTAAGCGGAGCCCTCCGCCCTCTCCCTGAGCGCGCGCCCGCGGCGGCTTCTCAGGCGCAGCCTCCCCAGGTCCCCTTGGGGTCCCGGCCCGGGCCAAGGCTCGACTGTGGTGGCGAGACTCCGCGCGTGATCCGCCACTTTCGCAGCTGCGGTCTCTTGCCGCGGCTTCCGGGCCATCGACTCCGGAGGCTCCGGTGGTTCCGGCGCTCCATGGCGCGCTTGCAACGCGCACCTGCCGGCGGTCTGCAGTTCTGGGGAGCGCCCGGGTGGCGAGGTTGTCCCAGGGTTGGAACCCAGAGAGGGCCTCGGTAGCATTAGCGAGATAGCCTAAGGCGACTGTGGCCGGGAGGTCGGATGGGGGCGTTCACCCGGCGCTGTCGTCCTGGGTGGCCACTGGCCGTTTCAGTGGTTCAGTGGATTGGGAATTGGGAAGGAGAAGGCATCTTTTGCGCGGGTTCCGGGAAGCCCAGTGAGCGGTTTGGAAGCACTGTGGTTAAATGTTTCTGCCCCCATCCCCCATGGCATAGTGCCCAGCTGTGGCCCGGCCCCCATGGTTTGAAGTGGGAGTTTGTCCAGAGTCCAGGAGGCTCCTTAAAGCGCATTTCCCTCTGTTTACTCTTTTTTGCCCCACCCCAAGAAGTGATAGGGTCCTAGAAAATTCGAGCTTCTTTTGCTCACAGGTAGTCTTCATAAATGTTCATCTTGATCTAAATGGTCAAAGCGTCACATGAAACTGTTATTCTAGGGACCTCAAAAATATCCACCTGTTTAATATGACCCTTGCCCTAGGAGGACCTACCTCTGCAAACAGCTCAGACAGAGAGATAAGAGGGAGAGGAAGCTGCGGGTAAACTTGGGATACCAGGACAGTCACCACAGTCTGGAAAGGAGAGCTCATACATAGCTGTTGACGGCAAGAATGTTCAGTTCTCTAGCGAACCAACACCATAGACAACATAGCTAGCTCCCTAGCCACCCGTATATGCACAACAGACAGAGGTGCATGGGTTTGGGAAGTGAGGCTACTAGATGTCTCTGAAGGCCTGTCTGTGGAGAATTAGACATTTTGAGACACATCCATCCTTGCTGTGGACCAGGTCTGTATAGTTGACTATCTAGGCTGGACCACGGGCAGGACTGGGCTGACCGCTTTCAACAGAGCTGGAGTCAGGTTCAGCGCTGTGCAATTCCATACAACAGTAGGCCAGTCATACCGAGCCTTTTCCCAGATCTTGAAACTTCACTCTTCCCTCTGGGCCAGCTCTGAATGTTGGGGCCTTCCAGCGAGCACCAGTATCCCCAGAAGAGCTCAGCCCTGACTGGAGGAATTCAGCTGTTCCTAATTGAAATGCACAACTTTCTGTGCAATCACCCCAGAAAGCTCCTAGAGTCGCTAGCAGCCCTCTATCCCCTGACCTCCAGGCAGGAAGATAGAAGAATTCATTAACTTCTCCTCTCCTCACAGAGCATCCTTAGAAGTAATTACCTGTGATCTCGGCTGGGGGTGCTAGGGGTGGAAAATTGAAAGAGGGCAGGGAACCAAGGAAGCAGAGTGGAATCTGTCCCATACCCCAGGAGGTTGTTTTCCTGTCTGTCTTCTACCTGTCATCATCTCCCTTAGTGCTATGCCCCAGCCATCTCACTACTTGCCTCTGCTGTCACTAGCTAGTATTACCTAAAGAACCCGTCTCCTCTTTCTCACAGTTAATCCTATCCAGAAACCTGCTGATGAAGAGGGACTATGAAGACTGATTGCCCTCTCTGGTCCCTTTCTGTCCTCAGAAAACTGCATTAGGATGGGGGCTGAAAAGCAATTAAAAGGACTTGACTTTTGACCGATGTACAGGGGAGACTGCTACAGAGCTGCAAGTCCTGAAGTGACAAAGTCTTAAATGGTTTCCTCTACCCAGGTACTACAACCTGGTGAAGAAGTCTCAGCTGCACCCTTCTCATGGCAGGGCATAGGGACAGGGGATCCTTACAGCCTGGATCCAAGCAGGGGTGAAGAGTCGCTGACCTTTTGGCCAAAGTCTAAAGGAAGAGTAGACAGTGATATCATAGGACTATCACTCTAGGCCATGACATCCCCAAACTGCTGGTCCCTATCAGAGCTGCTCTGAACGTCATCTCCCCATCTCCAGGCTGCTAATGAAAGATTGCTCTCCAACACTCTTGACCAAGAGAAGTTGCAGATGTGGTAGATGTTTAAGTTTAAGCATCTGCGTTGCAGGAGTTCTGTGCTCAAAATAAGGTTAGGAAGTCTCAAAGAACAGTCTCTGCTAGGTGCCTCTCCCAGGCCTATTACAAATACTCCCGATTATTCAGCTAATCTTTATTTCATGGGCATGTTACAAGGAGGCACAGGAGCAGGAAGAGAAGCCAGTGAACATGCTTAAATACACAGGACCGCAGTTGGCAGGAGCTTTAAGCTTGCCAGCGCAGGAATCCCAAAATATTTGTGGTGCCGGAGTCATCACTGTTTGTGGAGCTTTATGGCTTCTGTTCCACCTTGCTTTCTATGATTGCCTCTGAAAGATACAGGATTTGGTGTGGGGGAGGCAATTCCTGTTTCCAGGCCCTTCTCCCCAGCTGTCTTCCTGCATTGCTACACAGCTGTCTCTGCACAGGGAGACTAGGGTACAATATACTTCTGTCCATCACAGCAAATGGAGAGGCAAGGAGCACAGAGCCAGCCCCCCTCCCAGCCCCATGCAGATCATAAAGAGACAGGAGCATTGTGTTACAGTCTGTTAGCTACAATAATTCAGGGCTGCCCACAGGGAAGCAAGAGAAGCAGGCTTTGAGGTGCTGGATGGAGTTTTTACAGCTCATATGTACAGCACCCCAACACCACCCCTTCCCCCAGCACTACCCCTCCCCCTAGGCTGTCTGCTATCAATTCATTCTATGTGAGTGTTCTGTTTCTCCCCATCACATATGCTCAGTTCAAACAATGATGAATGGAACTGATTCCCTTATGGGAAACAGTTTTTTCACATAGTTACAAAGATTTCATGCCTGATTAGAGTAAATGAGGGGTGGGTGTGCCATCCCCTGCTTTTTTTGTCATTTCTAAAGGTGAACCCCCATGGAGACAAAAAGAAAGGCAGTTCTTCCCGGGGTCAAACAGCTGGTCCCAAGGCGCCTGTGGGGAATGGCTGATCTGAAGGGGCCACGCTCTCTCCTCTGCTCAGCCCTTAGCCTCTTTGGGGCTCTGCTCCCTGGCATCTGGGCATATGGAACCTCTGTGCAACTTCACACTGCTCCAATCTTGAATTGGAGGACAGGAATAGAGGTGAGAATATTCTTTGTTGGAGATCAAGGTCCCTATGGAGTTTGAGTATACAGTGAGAGAGGAAAAAACTTACAATTGAGCTCTTCCAGAAAGTTCCCTGCTTCAGCAGTTGGTTAACCATTAACCTGACTTGGTCTGGCCTTGTCCCTCATCTGGGTGGCAGGATATCTCTGGGAAGCCCTGAGAACGAGCAGATGTTCTCCAGTGGTCTTCTCTTCCCCCAGCAAAACGGTTGATGTTACCCCTCCCTGCTGTCTTCCTCTAGCCCTTGACATAGTATCTGACCCACCAACTCATCCTTTCCTTCTTCAAGCACCCCCCTCTCCTTTATCTGTCTGTTTGCCCAGGCTTTGCAACCTGTTCACTTGGCAGGGTGCAGTCAGAGTCTAAGGAGCGAGTAAGGGTTGGGAGAACTGATAAGGGAAACTGGCTTCACACAGGACTCCAGACAATTTGGGTACAGATACTTTGGAAGTATAGATCAACCCATTAGGCCGGAGTTTGCTTGGAAATGGGGGGTAGCAGGGGTCGGAAGAGGAAATTCAGAAAAAGCCTCTTGTTCTTCCTACTGAAAGCCTGGTTCACCAGAGACTCTGAATGCCTCTGACTTGTGGTACTGTTTTAGATATTTGAGATTAAGCCATTTGGTAGGAGGTCTTTCCAAAGTGCTTGACCCATCAGAACTGCCTTGCTGAAGGCCAGAGGAAAGCAGGAGGAGGATGAAGCATCAAGCTTAAGATGCAGGCGTGGAGGCTCATGTGCGGTGATAACAGAAGTCGAGATGCAGACAGGGTCTCAGATAAACAGAGAGACGGGAGACAGGGGGAAGATAGATGGAGACTAACAGTGTACCAGGTGGGAGAGCCAGCAACTGAATGAGGCTCTGGGCTCCCGCAAGGTGAAGTAACAGGTGTTCTCCACTAGAGGGAACTCTTGAAAACCACACTTGCCCTGAAACACTGGCTTTTGTGTCTTTTTTGGGTGGGTGGGTGGGGGCTATATTAGAAACTCCCAGCCATCACCACCCAGAGACCACAAATGACAGAGAGCAGAACTGGAACTTTTCACCTCTGACACAGAAGGGTGGGGTCAGGGGAGGGAAAAAGTCAAGGAGTAAGGTGGGGGGGGGGGCATTAAGCAGTGTTTACCAGACTTTCAGGGTAAGCTAGCCTCACAGGAGAAGGGTGTGTCTGTCTGTCTGTCTGTCTGTCTAGGTGTAACTATAAAAGGCCAGCCCCTCAGGACTTATCTGGGCTTAGGAGACTAAGAGAGGCTTAGACCCATACAGTTCATATCTGAGTAGCCAGGGAAGAGATGTATGCTCAAATCCAGTCCTGGCTGCCTCACCAAGAGAATCTTTCCTTTTTTTTTTTTTTTTTTTTATCAGCAAGTAAAGTTTTGGCCCATCCCCAAGTCCCTGCCACAGACCTTCCCTTCTTCTCACTCCCTAATGTGGATTTCCAGCCAGTCTCAGCAGCGGCAACACAGCTCTGGAGGAGACTTTTTTTTTTTTTAAGACCTTTCAGGAACTAAATGCATGTCAACGTTGTATCACTGACTTAATCTTTGTCTTCATATTCTCCCTGGGAGCCTGTCTCTGAATTCTAATTCCCCCTTTCATTTCAAAAGAGGACAATATTGAGAGGGAACACGCACAGAGCACAGTGGCTTCTCTCATCCACGGAGATAATAACTGTGCAACAGG